ACAAATACTTAGAGATATTTGTACTTGTTTTGGGCGTTATTTGTACTCTACGAAGCACAGTTGGATAATAATGTCGAATAACTTCTCAAAAGGAATTTGCAGTATAGTTTAATGTTATTTAACAATTATTCCACGAGCGCGCGTTGGATATGAGATGATAGATAGCCAACGAGGCGCGTAGCGCCGAGTTGGCTATAATCATCTCATATCCAACAAGCGCGAGTGGAATAATTGTTTTATTAAAAACGTTAAATTAAATTAAGTTTTATTCAATTTTTAGCTCCCTTTTAATTTTAATCTGACACATTCGCTTGCCATATTTGTACATTATGGTATATTGGCTGATATACCATAATGGCTAAGCCAATAAAAAGTCTTGAATTGCATTATCCAATGATCTAGTTTTTAATAAAAGCAATTAGAGCACTTTTTGATTGATTATCTTAAAACCAAAACCAAAATGATTACAACATCCAACCAGAAGAGAGGAAAATACCCTGAAAAGCCAATGAGAGCTCAAAGTAAAAACAACCAAAGGCGCGAGAAAACGCAGGCAAACAAACAGCGATTGGTTTTAGTTTTGCTTTTGATTGGTTCAGAGGATAGCGCCACATTTTTTGGACGAATCACAGAGCGAAGTAAAGCAAAAGCAGTGCAATCTCGGACTACTTTCTACACTCAAATGAAAATTGCTCAATACTGAAACCCTCGCGAGCTCTCAATTTTTCCTCGTCATTACATCGTAAAAGTTTACGGATCTCTACATCAGTATCGCAGCCATTTTGAAAACATTAGCTTTTAAGAAGGGGTGTTCAGTACGGGAAATAAAATGGCTTCTGTCTCGGTGAAGAATTCTACTTCAAAAAATTCCATGTGTCTACCTTTTAAAAGCAAGTCATAGCACTTGTCGCAAACTCTAGCCTGGTTGTACTCCAAGTAGGCCAGCGGAGCGGTGCTTTCAGAGCATGCCCCACAAATGACCTGAAACAATTAACAGACGAACTCTCCTCAGTCCTAAATTTCATCGCGACGTCAAAAACCCGAGTTAATCTTTCCCATCTTCGACTAGTTTTTCTTCCTTTTCGGTTTTCTCTTTACTGCTCATGTGTATTTCTAACTCGGCAAAAAAAAAACATTTTCACCCTTAGATCCCTCAAGGTGACTAGTATCTAATTTCTCGTAACAATATCACCACTGAATTGTACATCAAGGTCAAGAGAGAGGAAATGTCGCCAACGAAAAAGCTCTTAGTAAATTCACTTCGTCAGCACCTCAGGACAGTATGGAGAAAATGCATACTGATGTTGGTGTGTAAAGGGATACAGAATTAAATCTAAAAACAAACTCAACATGCACAAAACATGAGGTGCCATCTTAGAGCCTAACCTGCTCTTTACAACCCAACTAACTGCGACGTTACCGCGCAAGTTCTTACGTGTAGGGATGAGGGTACGGAAGACATTGACAAAATGAATCCCATGGAATTACGTGGTCAAGATTGAATCATCTAAAAGTGAAGTTTCAGCATGCTGTACTTACGTTTCCACAAGCTCTGCAGTGATGCCTCCTGTTTGTGAGGGTAAACGGAGACGTACAGCTCATGCACATTGTGACACGATGATCCGGAATCCACACAGGAGCTTTCTCGCCAAGTTTCATAATTTCTTCGTCTCTCTCCTGCGCTCCCTTCACAAGAACGAGGAAATTAAACAAGGTCAGATTATATAAATTGCTAGGAGGAGATTAAAAGGCCTCGCAAATGTAAGTGGAAAGTGCGAAAAAAGATCCCTCGTCAAGAAAATCTGAGACCAAAGAAAACGGCTGAGATACCGAGGGGTTTGAGAGACGCAAGCCCAAATTTGGACTATTCAAGGTAAAATCAAGCGCGGGGAGGGATGGGACAGCCTCAACTAGGAGACATTCGAAAGTCGCGAAATTCAATCAAGGGATGGACACGCAAATTAGAGTTTTACCCTGACAAAAACAAAGGAGTCACAAAATCTTACGAAATCATTTAGAGCAACTTCTTTTCTTGTTACCTTTGACAACTTCAGTCCAGAAAACAGAAGATATGAATATATGGACTAAAAGGAGGGGGGAGGTGTGAATAGACGGAGTAAAAGCAGGGGGGTTGGGTGGGGACATTTCTTCATTTAATAACAAATTCTCTTTGCCAATTTATAACGACACAAAGTGCAGAATTCCGAATAAATTTTTAATAAAGCAACGGTAAAGGAACAATTTCTTTTTACCAGTCCTGCTGCATCTCTTGTTTTGTTAAAAAATGTGATTTTCCTTTTGGTGACGACGTCTATGGCGTTATTCAAAGTCTGAAAATGAAGTAACAAAGTTGATTAATGATTAACTCAAATATATTTTAACTTGTTGATGTGTATATTATGTACGTATGATGCACGATCCTCGCAGTAGATAGCGCTATTTAAGCAATAGCGAAAATCAGACCTGAAAAAAATCAGGCCTGTACGGGACTCGAACCACTGACCGCTGCGATACTAGTGCAGCGCTCTACCAATTGAGCTAACAAGCCAACTGGGAGCAGGCCGTTAAGTTGATTCGTAATAAACCCGTGAAAGTGATAAATCAGATACAATGAAATATATGAAGTTCATATATTGAACTGCGGTATTAGATACGTATGATGCACGATCCTCGCAGTAGATAGCGCTATTTAAGCAATAGCGAAAATCAGACCTGAAAAAAATCAGGCCTGTACGGGACTCGAACCACTGACCTCTGCGATACTAGTGCAGCGCTCTACCAATTGAGCTAACAAGCCAACTGGGAGCAGGCCGTTAAGTTGATTCGTAATAAACCCGTGAAAGTGATAAATCAGATACAATGAAATATATGAAGTTCATATATTGAACTGCGGTATTAGATACGTATGATGCACGATCCTCGCAGTAGATAGCGCTATTTAAGCAATAGCGAAAATCAGACCTGAAAAAAATCAGGCCTGTNAGAAGTTTTACGTATGAATCCCGTACAGGCCTGATTTTTTTCAGGTCTGATTTTCGCTATTGCTTAAATAGCGCTATCTACTGCGAGGATCGTGCATCATACGTATCTAATACCGCAGTTCAATATATGAACTTCATATATTTCATTGTATCTGTATATTATGTATTGCTAAGAAGAGCTCCGAGGAACAAAGTGGAGATATTTTTTATTCATAATTTGTAATTTGTGATTTGTGACTTGTGACAATAGCATTTACCTCGACCCATTGATCTCTTTCTTCTGGAGTGCTGTTGCAAGAAAAAGTATAATGTATTAATCATGCAGTTCTGCACTTGTGAGTTCGAACTCGTTTACACCAACTAGAGAAGCTCTTGATTGATGAACAAATTCTCCTTGTCAGCGCCTTAGGAAATGTGTAAAGAACAGTCTGGAGAATATGCAAACTGATATTGGGGTGTAAATGGTTAACAAAGTGCAGAACTGACCTTGCCGTGAGGGTAAATGAACTTGTCGTGCTAATGATACTAAATTCATTAACAAAATCTGGAGAATCTGGAACAGTCACCTAAACAATGAAACAATGAACATTTTTCTGTAAGATAGCACTACTCTTATTCTAAATCAAGTTCAAACATGACCGGCCGGATAAAAGATCACAAGCTTGTAACACTTTTACTCGCCCTCAAAAGACAAAAATCTGCACTGCAGGCAACAAGACGCCATTGGAAAGCATGCTCCTATTGGATAATCATGGCTACACCCTGTGCAGTCGGTACCAGTCCCACACTCACCTGCATTCCCAAGAGTGGGAGCGTTTTATTGAGCTTGTACTGATTGCCACCCACAGGGGTAGTGTACAACAACACATCTGTCAGCTTAAAAAATAAATAATATAAATATTATGTTTAATTACCACCTCTACTGAGAAACACGATTCAGTCCAAGATTATACTCCAATAACGCACCAAGGTTAAAACTTGAATCACTGATTCATCTTATAAATCCAAAAATGGAAAAAAAAAACCGTTATTTTTCAAAAATTAATCTTTAATCTGCCAAAAGTGATTAATATGTAACTATTCCCTTATCCAGCAAACAGTTAGTGAGAACACTCAAATTTATCAGGTAAAAGATGTTATCTTGATCTAACACCAAATTCTCGTAACTCAATGATAAGGAAATGTGTAGCAGCTAGAGGGGAGAATTTATCAATCAGATCTCGGGAGTTAAAGGTTCACAACAGTTATTTACGAACCAGGAAAAACATTCTCTCTTGCATGTCTTTGCGACACAACTTCATCAGAGTTCCTTCTTTGATAAAGTCCTGTAAAAAATAAGCATAAAATAAAAATGTGTGCAAAGAATATTCAAAACGACGAGCCATGGTCTTAGATAACATCTGCAACAGATTCAGGGGAGGGGAGGGGGAACAGACCCCCCCCCTTCACATTTCCACATCAAACCTGCACATCTTTCAAAAAAAGATGATCTGTCACTTCTTAACTGACTGATTTTTTTGGATAATCACAAGACGTTCAACCACAAATGAAGGGGGAGGGGAGGGACGAGGGGATGTGACGAGAGCATGGGTTGGTTGAGAAGCAATTAGCAGCAGAATAAAATTCTGTGTTTTCTGAATCAAAGTTTGGACCCTCCGATGAAAAATTCCTTGCTCAGCCTTTTGACATGATTAAGCTCGCATTGAAAGTACCTAAGCAAATAACTTTTGGTACATACCCGTCCAGCTTTGACAATCTCTGGATGTCCCACAAGACTCCTTTGAACCTTAAGCATCTGCTCAAAGCTCTCCTGTTGGACAATAACAACAAGAGTCTTTATTTTGTACTCTAAATTGCATCTTTTACAAATAAAAAATAAATATTAATGTGAGAAGCTAAATTAAGTACGCATTTTGAATGGTTCTTACATATAATCTTATGGAAGAAAGGTGCATGGACGACCTCACCACTAAAAGTACTTTGATCTTTTTTTATCATTCAAGACAAATAGATTCCATGTTGTTGTGGGTCTCTTCAGCAAAAAGTCACAAAGACGTCGATATGTGGTGAAAAAAATCAGTGACACACTCAGCGCTTTTTTTGTGGCAGACGAAAGAAGTCCAGGTATCTCTAATGCAATTTATATGTGGGGAAAGGGGAAGTTTTTAATATTGATGATTGTAAAATTTTCCCAGCGCACCATTTTCTTCATTGACTCGTTGATGTGCATCGCAACCTCTGACACAATCTTCAGGGCAGCTAATAAGAAGAAAAGAGCCAAAAAATTATTATCAAATACTATCGAACAGTGCTTATCAGAAGAGATTTTGTTTTGTGTATCGATACACGATCAAGGAGTTCATAGTAAAATGCTTTCAGTGACTTCTGACAGACTGAAAAATTCTCCTTCCAAATTGTCTTGTGTTCCTTTGTAAAAACAGAGGGAGAAGTAGATTTTCCATCAAAAGTTATCTGCGTGTCTCTTTTCCACCCAACTTTTAAACTATTAAATGTGCCGCTGACCACAGTGATTTTACAAGACTCAACCCTTCCACTCGCATAAGAGACCAAGACACAATTTCTCGAATACATGTCGAGAAGAAAAGAGATAAGAATTAAGAAAAATATCTATTAGGGGATTATTAGATGACCCAATAAAACATTTTCCAAACAAATATCATAAGAATTTTCTGAACACGTATGAATAAAGGGGGTAAGTTTCTAAAGAAACTGTGGTGCTGCATTAGCGAGGAAGTATAACAAAGTAATTTTGGTTTTATCAACTGAGTTTACAATGTAAATTGGCCAACGTAAAGAGTTTCAAAGCAGTGACGTTTCGAGCGTTAGCGCTTCGTCAGAGCGAATGACGAAGGGCTAACGCTCGTAACGTCAGCTTTGAAACTCATTACGGTGGGCAATTATCATAATCAATCCAGGTAATTAAGCCAAAATTACAGTACAGTTGTGTATGATTGAGAAAAATCTACATAATTACAGTATGCATCATTTACCTTCTGTGTCCTTTGATTCATCGGAATCCTTTGGTAAGTGCTTGAGATAGTCTAGGAAAAAACCATCGCAAAAAAAATCACTCCAAAACAAAAAAAGAAAGACTTGATCACCACTCTTGCCAACAGAAGACTTAACTCACCAATTAGAAGAAGTCTGTAGCTAGGTATGCGCTGTACAGGTTTCAGCATGTAAGATGACAAAGCCATTCCATGACAGCGTTCACTTGCCTGTAGACAACAAAATTACAATAAAAAATAACTCTTAAAATCTATGTGTTATGTTAACACCTCTGATACTTTGTTGCTCTACAGTATATACATGTATGTATAAAAGTCAGTACTAAGCACTAGCCAACCTTCGGCTGTTTCATTCACCGCTGCTGTTAAGTGAACTTGTTATAAAACTTTCACTAGAAATATACGGGTTACGTTTCTAGAGAAACTGCAGTGCAACATCAGCGGGCGTATTACAAAACAGTTTGGTTTTATCAACTGGGTTGATAAATAAAAAGTGGCCATCGTAAGGAATTTCTAAAGCTGACGTTTCAAGCCTTTGTTACATCCATTTTGAAATCACTGGTGGTCCCCGTAATCTGATTGGCTCTAATTGGTGCGATTTATTCACAAATCGCACCATTTTTTGCTCTAAATCGCATCATTTAATGCTTGACTGCGTTTTTGACACATGACGTCAAAGTCTTTCTGTTTTGCATACGAAATAAGATGTAAAAGCGTTTCCGGTTCCGCTTTTTATTTAAAAAACCGGCTCAGTACAGCAGCAGTAAAATATTTGAACTGAACAAGTCCTGTATCTGGGCGATTTCAAAATGGATGTAATAAAGTGGTAATTGAACCTCGTGTCGTGCAATTTTGGTCTGAAATCATACTTGTGATTTCAGTCCAAATAGCACTCCGCTCAGTTCAATTACCATTATTTATCTCTTGGTCAGATTTCCTTTTTATTCCACCTTACAAAAAACTGGTTGTTCCATTAAACATTTAAGGTGGCCAACCGACACCTGCTAACAAACAATGCAACCACTGCAAAGTGAATAGTAGAGGTACACTGTACCAACAACAAAAGTCAGTCACCCTTAAAATAGTACACCAAAAAGGTTTCAACCTTTCACATTTTTGACAGGTATTCTTCAACAGTGGGTGAATTACACTGTGCATTTTTAATAATAACTTTTTCTGTCCATCACCAGATTAAATTTTCTGTGCATTGTGCTGCACTGTTTGTAATCTTGGATTGCTGTCAGCATCCTAGCAACTGTGCACCCACCCTCCCCTCCCCTCCCCTAACTAAAAAACAGTCAACTGATAACAACTCAGGGTGAATGCTGGGTTAGGGGAGGGGAGGGTAGGGGTGGTTGTACAGCTGCTTAGATACTAATATTGATTGGTAAACTCTTATTACTATTTCCTTATAACAAATAATCACTCAAAGTTTTGTTTGGTGATGTTGCTTAAACATTTATTTGGGTTATAAAAGCAGCATTTATCCAGCAGAGAGACAATGGTTGTCAGTCTGTACATAGGTGCACAAAATTCTGGTAACAATGCTGGCAGAGTTTTAATTTTAAAAAATATTCTACATATTCTCCAGATCATATCCTACCTGGAATTGGGAAACTAAGTTTGCAAACTCTAAATTTTCTTTCATCGTGTCTTGAAACACACCAATAGCTTTGTCATAACCATTCACAAATTGAGTATACATCTGTAAATTAAGATATATCAGCTCATCAGACTTTTTATCAAAATTTTGAAAAGTTTATTGCTTAAAGAAAATGGAACAGAAACCAAAATGAACTGACATCCAATAATTAGCAGGTATTAGCATTTCAGTGTTAAGCAATGAAGTTAAATGAAAGGTTTACTCCAAAAGTGACATGCATTCTTCAGCCATTCTTGACATTCTAAGATTCACCATAATGAATGTTGCATTTATAACTATTGATAATAATATTAACATCAATAATCATTATGTTACCTTTAAGAAGTGGCTGTATTTCTTGACAATGTCACCAATTCTCTCATGTTCATCCCTGAAGGAAACAAGTTGCAAAATCAATTTTTTGGTGAGAGACTACAGGGAGGAATTCCACCTTTAAAATCCATTGTTGGAAATAACGTGGACATTATCCATGCAAATTGTGTGGAGGCGCGGTGGCCTCATGGTTGGTGCGCTCGACTCCAGATCGAGTGGTCTGGGTCCGAGCCCCAGCTGGGACATTGTGTTGTGTGCTTAGACAAGACACTTTACTCTCACAGTGCCTCTCTCCCCCCAGGTGTATAAATGGGTACCGGCAATTTAATGCTGGGGGGGTAGCCCTGCGATGGACTAACATCCCATCTAGGGGGGAGTAGAAATACTCCTAGTCGCTTCATGCTACAGAAACCGGAGTTAAGCACTGGCCTAATGGGCCACTAGGCTCTTAAACAGACTTTACCTATCCATGCAAATAACAATGACCTCTCCCTGTTAAAAATGAGCTAGATGGGGAGAGTAGGTGTAGTTAAAGTAGCAATCAGGGAAGAGAAGGTTGCGAGGGATATGGGAAAGAGGTTTACTAGAACTGGGATTTCAAGGTTGATGAGAGTTGGGCAGGAAAAATTATAACAAGTGGAACATGATTTTTGTACAACATAGAAAAATTAACTTCAAGGGGAGACCAGAAAGTTGAAAAGAAACAGCCCACCCTCTCCAACCCCCCTCCCATCTCTCCCTTCCCACCTCCCCCCTTTCCATCTCCCCTCATCCCATTTACCCCCCTTCCGTCTCCCCCCTTCCCATCTCCTCCCTCCCATCTCCCCCTTCCCATCTCCCCCTTTCCCATTTACCCCCCTTCCGTCTCCCCCCTTCCCATCTCCTCCCTCCCATCTCCCCCTTCCCATCTCCCCCTTCCCATCTCCCCCATTCCCATCTCCCCCCTTTGCATCTCCCCCCCCTTCCCCCAAAATGATGCCAGCTTAGTTGTTGAAAGAGGAATAATATTAATTGCACTTCCAAGCGATAGAAAAACTTGAGTTTCTGATGCCAGGAATCAAAACTGTGGGAGAAAAAAAAATGCAAAGGGTCTGAGGTTCAGTTCCTCATGTGCAATTGCTCTTTTTTCTTCTCCCATGCCTGTAACTGAATGAAAAACAATTATTTCTTTAACATTAGGTACATATGCGTCTTTTGAAATTCATATTTACCATGTTATCATCCGTTCCTCCAGTTCTTGCAGGAATCTAGAATCCAGCAAATAAATATTTTCTAAGTCAGAAAAGATGTCACCCAAAGTGCTTTCAGCTACAACGTTGGCTTGCTTAATTGTTCCATAGCATTCCTAGAGGAAGATGGAAAAAAAAAATTAAGTTTCCAATAATTCAACAAATGCACTAATCAAAATTGCATTTTTATATAAAGTACACAGGACAAGTAACCATTTCACTCCCAAGATCTCAATAGAAATTCTCCTTACTGTCTGCCATTCAATTTTCATGAAGTTAATTTGGAGAATTCGGTATTGGATCAACTAATCATCCTCTTACTGATGCTTTTCTATGTTCTCGACACTTGTCTGCTTGATATCATATTGATATTGTAAGGAGAGATTCTGTCTTGGTCACTCATAGGATTTAACAGAATTGGTGAAATGGTGCTATAGAGATGTATATTTAAAAAAATGACAAATGAATAAAGGGGGTAAGTTTCTAAAGAAACTGTGGTGCTGCGTCAATGGGGGTAACAAGGTAATTTGGTAATATCAACTAAGTTGAAGTTGTAAATTGGCCACCGTAAAGAGTTAAAAAGCTGACATTTCGAGCATTTGCCCTTCATCATTCGTTCTGACGAAGGGCTAACACTCGAAACATCAGCTTTTTTAACTCTTTGCGCTGGCCAATTTACAATTTCAACTTACTTGATATTATCAAATTACTATAATGTATAGATTTAGCCAAGCCTAAAAGCGGAGCTCCCAAGTTCATAATATTAATGATAACAGAAAAGATGTGCATTTGCCAAGACTTGCCTGAGACACCCCTCCCTTCATTTTGATAGTCTCCCCTACCCTACCCTTGCAGTCTGAAGGCACGTACGTACGTACGTTCATATGCTCAGTCAGTCAAGCGACAACCAAGCGAAAAGAGGTTGACCATATTCCATGGGTATGGGGCTCTGCCGCGCACACGTGGGAGCCCCGCAATTAAATGACAGTTTGACACTTAAACTCTCTGAAGTGATTAACATGTAACTTCTCCCTACAATATCCATACATTATCCAGCAAACAGGTAATGAGAATACTCTGGCCAGCATGGTCTACATTTCACCTTGTTTACATCACATACAGCCCCAAAAAATCTTGTACCAGCTTTTCTGCAACAAAATTATGTTACCATACTTAAAATAAATTGATCAATATCAGTATCTGAGCAACTGCACATATGCCCCTCCCCTAACACATTAACAATCTACTAGCAACAAGTGAGGGTAAATCTTGGGTTAAGGGGAGGGGGGGTAGGTATGCAGTTGCTCAGATTCTGAAATTAATCCAAACTATTTCCCTTTTCTTTTTTTTCATATACCTCAAAGACAAGTTTCAAAGCATCCACAAATGTCTGCTCAGTCGAGAGAATTTCGTGTGCAATGTGATATGTCTTTGGCTTTCGTGGACCCTGCAGAGGTAACCATCTTGACAATCAGTATTAAAAAACTGTATCATTGGATAATGTAATTACAAGAGTTTTCATTGGCTTAGCCATTATGGTCTATGAGCCATTATTCTATAAGTGTGCATGAAGACAAGTCAAACCAGAAGCGTTTTTGTACATTGTGAGGGGTTTCATTAAGGGCCAGGCACCGGGCAAATTTACTGGTTGTGAGGACAGTTTTGCCCACCTGAATTGACAGTCTGGAAAGTTTATCTTATAAAGAAGTTCAGTTCAAAGAGTTTTGCCTGCCTGTGAAAACCTGAGTTGCCCTCCTGCAGAAAACATTAATGAAGCCCCTGCATTGTAATATTCCATTTCTTCTTACAAAAGAAAGTCGATATAGATATTTTGGGGCATTCCTAAAAAAACAATTATTCAACTTGTGCCTGTTGGATATAAGATGATTATGGCCAACTTGGTCCTAGGGGCCTTGTTGGCTGTCTATCATCTTACATCCAACACCCATTCATGGAAAGATTGTTTATACAATAGATGAGATAGTTATAATGCTTTGAATTTTAGGCAGGGCTGTGGTCTAACGGTACCCCGTGGCCCCTGGCACCTTACTTTTGCTCTTGGGTGACTCAAGAATCATATTTCTCACACACCACTGGTAGCTATGTCAAGCTGACCATCAGCAATGGTGGACGCAACAAAAACAACTGCCTGCCCCTTAGGTCACATGACCTATACCCAGGCCCCAGTGGTGTGTGAGAAAAACATTTTTCACTTACTTCGTTCCACTCAGCCTGTGAAAAATTACTCGTTATTCATAAAAAGCATATGCTGGGCACCGTGAATTTCACAGTTTCAGAGCACTGGGCTCCCTTCAATTTTTCTCAGTGCACAGCCTTGTTAGGGTAAATAAGCTACAGGAGAAATTAGATGCTAGTCTCTTTTGGGGTTTAAAGGTTAAAGAGAGTGACCAGCATCTAGTTTCTCCATAATACTTCATTCATAAAGATTAATTATTTATTAATAATTAATTAAATAATCATTAATAATTCATTCTTAAAGATTAAGAGAATAAAGGAGATGATCATCAACAAAGGAAGCTAGTCAGTATCTATGGAAATGTAAAGAGGGAAGTACAGAGAGTAAATATCATTCTCAGGGTGTTAGGATTAATCATTACCCTTGGTGATGCCTCTTCTCCAACATCAGAATCCGTATCTGAATCTGCCTCATTTGCAAATGGCCCCGGTGTCAGGGGTGGGGCTTCATTTCCTTCATCATTTATGACGCTCATCCAGCCACTTGGAGGGGGTGGGCGTGGTGGAGGTTTGCGTTTCAAGGTTTGTTCCTCCTCTGTGGTCTCCACTGTGGAAATGTCAGAAGAAGACAATGTAGATAGCTCTGAAGAAGATTCAGTTGAGACAGAAGCTTCAGGCTGAAGAGCATTTAGGCGAGTGCGGGGAACAGGAACTGGAAACTCACTACTTTTAGTTGAGGTAGACTCTATTGATGAAGCAGTTTTCATGCTTTTTCTTGGCACAGGAGTTGGTGAGTTATCAGCACTGTTGGTTGAAGATGAGTCTGTTGACGTGGCAATCTTTGAGCTCTTCCTTGGTACAGGGCTTGGAGAGTTTTCTCCACTGTGGGTTGTCCATGATTCTGATGATGCAGCAGTTTTTGAGTTCTTCCTTGGTAGAGGACTTGGTGAATTCTTTAGTTCTCGTGTCCTTGGGACTGGTTTTGGTGACTGTCTTGTTTCTGTTTTTGTGCTTGCAGATTTGGATGTCTCCTCCATACTTGCAAAGACATTAAAATCTTCTTTTAACAAGCTTGTTCTAGGTGGTTTTGGGGGTGGAATGGCTGACACGGGAACTGGTTTTGGCTTTACTTGAACAGGCACGGCATATTCCCTATCATTCTCCTGCGGAACTACCTGGACCAGCTGTCAACTTGAAGAATCTTGACCAGGCATTGCATATTCCCCATCATTCTCCTGCGGAACTTCCTGGACCAGCTGTCATCTTGAAGAATCTTGAACAGGCACAGCATAATCCCCATCATTCTCCTGCGGAACTGCCTGGACCAGCTGTCTACTTGAAGAATCTGAGAATTTTTCAACGACAGGTACAGGTGTGACTTGACCAGGAACAGAATATATTTCTCTGTCATCAGTACCATGACTATCTGTTACTGCACATGCCTTTACTATGATTGACTTGGGTACAGCATACTCATCTCCCTCTGTGACACTACGTGCACGAGATGAAATGGGTAGGGGAACGCTATACTCAGCTTCATCAGTTAAAAAACTGTCCACTGGAATGACTTTACCAGGAACTCTGTAAATAACCTCATCATCAGACACACGCTGAACAGGACGTGGCATTGAGAGAACAACTGTTTCATATTTACTGAAAGACTGAGTTTTTCTCAAGGAGTCCCCCTTACTTTTAATCTTCTCAAGTTGTTTTGAAGTTAAATCAATATTTTCATATACATGTTTTTCTTTCTTTGCCTTGCGACTTGGCCTCTCTGGTGGAACTGGCTGAGGAGATTCAAGATGTGAATCATCATCATCTTCATTTTCCTGTGAAGGTAGTTGCTCCACATCTGCAAATTTGCATGAAGCAGTGTCAAGATCTTCGTCTGTAGAAATAGAGATGGCATTCACAATACACTCATTCTTGGCCTCCTGCATCTCACCTAGCACAACTTCCTTGTTGGCGAGTGAAGGTGGTGTCTCCTCATCAACAAATTCGGATGAAGCAGTATTTAGATCTTCTTCTGTAGAAGTAGAGAGAGCGGTCGCAAAACACTCACTCTCAACTTTCTCCATCTCAACAAGCACAACTTCTTCATTGACATGTGAAGTTGGTTGCTCCTCATAAACGAATCCAGACGAAGCAGTATCTGGATCTTCTTTAGAATTAGAGACCACATTGACAATGCTCTCACTCGGATCTTCCTTCGACTCAAATACCACAGCCTCAACATTTTCCTGTGAGGATGTTTGCTCCACATGAACAAGTTCAGATGAAACAGTGTCAAGATCTTCTTCTTTAGAATCAGGAATGGCAGTGATAGCGCTTTCATCCTGATCATTATTCACCTCATATAGCAAACCCTCTGTGTTTTCCAAACTTGACACCTCTTCCTCTACTTTTGGTTGCTCTCCTTTGCCACTAACACACACAAATTCCATCTGGCCATCTTTCCTCTCTTCTTGACAAAAATGTTCAGAAACTGAATTCTCAAGCAACTGTTCCCCAGATTGTACAGTTTTCTCCAATTCTTCTGCCATGTCTTGGCAGGATTCTTTTTCTCCAGATCTAGTAGAAACAAACTCAAGTTCATTTTTCTCCATGAATTCTTCATTTTGATGTTGATGTTCAAGAACTGGGTGATCTTCATTCCCATCATCTTCTAATTTTTCTGCAGTAGGATCTTTAGATTGATTTTTATCTTCATCTGTGTCTGAAATTTCCTTGGAAATGACACGATCAGTAACTGATAATAAAGTTCCTTCCCTTATTGGTTCCGCCATGATAACTTCACTATTTTTGCAAGATTCATTTTGTTGTCCCTCTGTAACACCTTCCATAACAGCTTCACGGCTCTCATCAGTTACATTTTCAAGTCTGTTAAGTTCTGTTGAATCTCTACAAGTTTGTAAAGTGTCTAACTCAGTTTCACATTGTACTTCATCAAATGGAGAATCTTCCGTAAGTATAATTTCTTCTGCTTCTTCACTTAGATTTTCCAAAACACTGTCCACTTGCTCTTCAGCCTCAAAATTAGACTCCATTTCCTCTTGATCATTTAAAAATTTAATAACACTTAACTCTTCTTCCATTTTGTCTTTTTTTACCTCATTAGTGGTCTGTGAAGAATTCTGTCCCACTATGTTTTCTGAAAGAAGGTTGCCAGCAACTGATTCATCTTTACTAACTTCTACAACTTCATTGTTTTCTGCACTGATCCCTCCTTGTATTTCTAAGGTTTCTATTCCATATACATTGCCCTTTGTATCATTTTCTATCCTAGTGACAGAACATTCTTCCTCAAGCTCAACACTGTACAATACACGAACTGTTTCTTCCGTTTCTTTCACACCATCAGCTGGTTGAAATTCATCGCAAGCACTGTCATTAACAGCATCACCCACACAAACCTCCACATTGACATCCATTGGCTCAGAAAATTCTCCATCTACATTCTTGCCCTCTGGTGGTATTGAAAGAATGTCATAGTCCTCACCACCATCATCAACTGGTATTTCAAGACCATCCAGAGGATCTGCCATGTTCTTTTCAAAATTGACTTTTTCAGGTTCAATAACAAGAGGCTCAGTAGCTACTCCATTTTTATGAACCCCACTACTATCCACAAATCCATTTTCAACATAACTGAATTTGCCAGGGGTTTTTTCTTCCAAAGAGACAAAAAACTGGGAAGATCTATTTTTCTTGTGATTTTCAGTTGATACCACCTTAGAAGTGTCTTTCTCTAGTGGAGCAAAACACTGTGTTTCACAAACACTGTTTGTTGAAGACGGTAATGCCAAACCAGATCCATCCTTGATAGGCTGACTAACAATTTTCTTCTCACTTTTGACAGTAATGTCCCTCCTCAGAGAAGCCTTCCTAGAAACATAATTCTTGGGTTTTGGAGGAACAGGAGGTTTTTTCTTTTTCTCAACTGACAACTTTGATTGCAAATTTGACAACAATTCACTCTTCCGGCCAAGAGAACTTCCCCGTGGGGGTGGAGGAGGTCTTGGGGGTTTTTGATGCCCCTGGGAATCTTTGCCACTAACTGGAATATTTTCTTTTCTCTCTACTCTTGGACTGTGTTCTCCAGATGATTTTATTTTTCCATTCCTTTTGTTTTTTCTTGGTGGTGGTTCAGGCGTTCCAGATGATGACAGTCTGTGTAAAAAGGAAAAGGAATCAAATCAAAAAAAAAACACCATCATAATGTGCAGATTGTAAAAAGAATAGTAATTTTCCTAAATGCCACTAACTGTTTGGTTCCAAGTAACAGAATTGAGCCCCATGCAAATGAAAAGGGATAGGACTGCCTACTAATGCTTACAACAACATAGCTGGCAGAGAAGGGGGGGGAGGGTTGGGGGGGCTGCTGCACCCCTAACAGAAGAATATCAATTGTAACAGTTGTGCATTAAGCATGGCCATGTGAAAGATAAGCCCCCATCCCCACATTTAAAAACACTCCACCACCTCCGAACAAAATAAAAAAAGGAAAGACCTTGATTTTAAGGTTAAAATTTGCTAGTTGTAATCAAGTTGAACTCACCTTTCAAAGTTATCATCACCACTACCATCTATGAGAAAATAATAAGAAACAAAAAAAAACATTAGGGCTCACACTTATTAGTGGCCATCAGAATCCATGTCAAAATCCCTCCCAGAGTATACAGATGACAAAGTCTTCAGCCAACCCCTTAATTTCCATGAGTGACCTGAACAGAATTAATTTTTTCCTTACAATATCAAAGCGAAAAGAACAGATATACAAACTACACTTGACAAAACTGCACTGGAAAAAACTGCACAAACTACAGTGAACAATATGGTTTAAATACATGCTACGCAACAATGACACAAAGAAAGCGCACGCAAAACTTTACTACGATTAGCACTACTGCACAAGAAACAATAGACAAAAAATAATGCATAGCGATCTATAGAGTGAATGAGTGAGTAAATGAGTGAGTGAATGACTAAATAACTGACTACGACTGATTGAATGTCAGAAAGACTAACTGACTGACTGTCATATAGACTGACTAACCAACTGATCAATTAATTAATAATTAATTGATAATAACTAATAATAACTTGATAATAACTCAATAACTAATTCATCAACTGACTGACTGACTGACAACACTTAACAAATGGTAAACACCACAGCGTACACTATTGGTGGGTGGGAGGAAGCAAAATAATAACTTTCTATTCCAACATATCTATTTATGGCTGATTGACTTCAGGCAATGGAAAAAAGGTGGCAATGGATGTGGACAGTAAAACTGGACCCGAGATTTTAGAGATGTTTGGTAAAGTGGCTGGAGCCACAGAAATGTGAGTAATGATACAAATGGACAGGTAATGAGAATAATTGACAACTATTCACCTCAGAGTCAGTGGTTAGTGGTGGATATTTACCAAGCTGCAAAGCGGCGAGGTAAATATCCACCGCTAACCACCAACACTGAGGTGAATTGTTTTAGTATATACTAAAACAGTGAGATAAAATACACCACCATCGTTAATTTGAGTGATTTCTTCGCTTGTCACAGATGCAAACCAGGACGCCCTTTTTTTCCCAAGTTGCTCAGAGGTAACTAGCAAAGGATATTCGGAGTTTGACAAGCCAATCAGAGCATGCCTTCAATGCTGTCCACTGTTTTAGTATACACTAACAAGAAATACCAACTAAGGGATTATTAGTTGATCCAATACAAAATTCTCCAAACTAACAACATAAGAATTATATAGCAGATTGTAAGAAGAATTAATAAGGAATGAAAAGTTTCAAGTATCCTTGTTCCTTTTCATGAAATGAGCAACTATGGAAAGGTTGTATTGCATTGGGTAATTGTGTACATCTATTCCGAAAAAAAGTTCTGTAATAACAGTCTTCATTTTTGTTTTTGTCATTTTATTTTTATGATTTAAAACCATTGGAATAAAAACCAGCCAGTAAACCGTTGATCTGAGGCTTCTTAAATGAAAATTATGCACAAGTACAACATACCATAGTGATGTGTTTTTTTTTTTTAATCAATATTTTCAACTGATTTGAGACAAATAGACTCTTTTCCTGTAAAGCTTCAGAATACCACAACAACGAGAAGATAACATTGCACCTGCTAGTACAGCAGATGCTTTATACAGAAAACTTCTGTAGATATATCTAAATAACCCTTGTTGGGATTCAGTCATAATTTATTGAGTACATAAACATGACCTTTACGATGAAAATAAACAAAATTTCGTAAGAGAGTTAAGCTGTCAAAGTGCATTATGTTAATTTTGTGAACAGGGTCAATGAAACTGTCGTGAAGCATTTCGAATACTCGATCGATCTGCGATCGCGGGCTTGAAATTAATCTGTGTTGCTTCAATCAGATTATCCCTCGAGACCGCTTATCCCTTTCCTTTAAAGGAAGACGTAACCGAATTGTGCGGAGATCAAACCGATTCAGGAAACGGGCGAGAAATCGTGGCTGAAATAAGACCAAAGAGCCTAAAATGGATAAGATCAGGAACCAATTCAGTGATCTTATTATCAATGGACACTTGTAAACGTGTACGTTAACAGTGTGTACATCATTAATTTATAGTTCATGCCTTACCGATTAGTTCTTCGCGGCTTTTCTTTATCGGTGGCGGGCTTTCTCCTATCACAGATGAGCGACCTTATGCAAAACAGAGCAACATGTGGCATAAATAAGAATTCACATCCTTCCAAAGAAAAGATTTAATACAACGAAACTCGATCTCTATCTGACTTCACGACGACATGTTGATTTCACAGGCGGAAATGCTCAAAACAATGTACTATCGCACGTTTAAACATGTCTTCGAAAAACATATTTGTGCCATAGTGTACTCTGATCTTGAATAAACTTAAACATTTTCAAATAAACTCTAAGGGTTATGAGAGACTAGAAAAGTAAACCCATCAAGGAACACCCCCAAATATTCAAGCTATTTTTGTACCCAGATTTGGAGCCGATCGAAGAAAATATTGCGCCGAAAAAATTGACACAATGTACCTTCGAACGCCTTAGCTTTCTCCTTGACGCTCATTCTAGCAGTATCGCCAGACAATCAAGTGTATAGCTGTCATTCGTGGCGATTTCATCAGCGCTTTCCCGCGTAGTATTGCTCATCTATTGTGCTAAAAACATTTCTATCGACTGCAGACTTCACTTCCTCTGAATTTGACATGATCACATGATTTGCATATAGTAAGCCGCTGACCGGCATATCTTGTAACTCATGGGAACCTTCAGGAAACTATATCATCGACTTGCTAATTTCCTTCTCTTTTTTTTTTTTTTTTTTAAATTTTTTTTAATATTCTACCTTTCCCTCCATCTTTTCCTTACATTGCTGACCAAATGTATAATCTCTTTTCTTTTCCTTTTTATACTAGCCATTAAATCACCCAGTCTAATATTTCTATTTTCACGAATAAACTCTGTTTGAAACGAGTCGAAGGAAATTACCTCCTCAAACGTCACTTCCTGTACGTTATAATCCTTCGAAATCACGGAAATATTTATGTAACAAGCCTTTTTTCACCTTTGCTAGTGCGGAAAAGCGCTTTATGCTCAGATCTGATATGATAAGGGGTCAATGTCATTGGATGTTTTTTTAATGTTATTTTTAAGTTCCCTACCACCAAGAGACAACCGCTCGTGAGAGATCCCATGGTTAATTAGACGAAATCAGTTAGTATTACGCAAATGCTGTTGCATAAAAAAGTAACAAGGGTCACAGTGGCCTTTGCAGCTGGGGATTTTTTGGGCGCTCGAGCAAATAAAGATGCGCATCGGCAAAAACGAACAGCGAAGCATCAAGTAGTTTCTTTCAAAATCCTGTCCTAAGCATTTCGAGGCGTAAGCGATCGACTTCTCGCCGCTACTTAGGCGCTACAAAGCGCGCAAAACCACTAACTACATAGGGCCTAAGGGAAAATAGTGCCTTCAGACGTTAGGGCGCGCAAAACCACGAGTTACGCAGCCTGATAGGATCGAAAACCGATGCCGGGCTTCAGACGTTTAAGCGTGTAAAACCACGAGTTATGCGTGACGTAATTGAAAACATTGCTCTCAAACGTTTCTCTATCACCTTCTTAGGTATATTTAAACAGACATTGTTGTTTTTTTTGTTCTGTTTTTTTTTGTATTGTTTTATCAGTTGTCATGATTTTTTTTATTATGTCATGTATTTTATAGCTGCAGCAATCGATTTCCATGTAATATTATTGTTGGTAATTTTGATTCATTTCTGAATTTTTTTTTTTTTTTTTTTTTTTTGACTGTATGTATCATTATGTGATTGAATTTAAAGGAGTGAAGAGGGGATGGGCCAACCTCGTTCCCAGGGCCTTCTCCCTTAGTTGGGGGTAGAGTTGGGGATGAGGCGCCACCACCCGCCCCACCCCCTGCTAAGGGAAAAGGCCCTGTGAACTAGGTTGGGGAGGGGTAAAAGAATAGATTGTCCCCAAAGTTCCCAATAGTTTGTTTTTTAAAGTGAACTATTATCTTGATCATTATTATTATTACTGCTATAATCATTATTATTATTGATGTTATCATTATCATTACCAATGTCAATATCGTTTTAAGTATCGCCAGGGGAGGGGAGGTCGGGGAATATTTGGTGGATTAAATGGCTTTCATGAAGAACAAGGGGAGGTTTGTCGTCTCTAACAAAGTTCTAGGGGGAGACTGTATAAAATTGACTGTCGTTAAGGAGGGTAGGGTCCTTGAAATTCTGCAGAGACTTATGGGAGATCAGGTAAATGTTATTGTGACACAACCAAAGTCCCCGATCCCCCCTCCCCTCCCCCGCGATAAATTATGACTGAGCCCGAGATATCCTTGGTTTTTGCGTGATCATTGTTATCATTGTTTCTCGCTTTTTATATATTTTATGGTATTCAAATACTTTATCTTGTTCATGTTGATCATTTCGTCATTATTTACCGTGTATAGACCCTGTGAATCGTTTAACGCACATTGCAATTGGTACGATTTAATAAATCTAACGAACTCTCTGGCTTAGTGATATAGCCTGTGTACATGCGTACAGCAGCCTTTACCCTTCAAAATAAAATCGATTTTTCCTTTCGAGGGTAGGAGCAGGGGGCGGCTGGACATAGGCGTTAGTGACACAGCACCGAGGAAATGTAAATTTGAGTCTGAAAAAGGTAAAGACCTTCGAAGGTTAGTTAGCTGGTTATATGCTGTCACGTCCAAAGTCAAACAACCGTCTGTAAACATCATCATTTCTCTGTTAATGGAACAATTGAATTTAAATCTTCATTACCAGTAGGATGATATACTTACTTGCTATGGGGTTATTTTCCCGTATGATATACACGATAAATCAAAGTCTTCGTTAAAAAAAGCAAAAATCAAGAAAGAAAAAAAAAAGGCCTAAGAGCATGTGAGCTACCTTCAAAAAATATTACGACAAATTTCAGTTATATACCCCAGGGATACTTTTAAGTTGCTCTCCTATATTTAAATTATCTTGCTTGATTATTATTTTTTTAGTCAAGAGACACGTCAGCGATGAAAGGTTAGCTCTGTCCTGCGGAAATTTATAATTCCCCTGTTCAATCTCATTTGGCTCCTTTTTTTTCCTTGTTTCTTTTTAGATTTTTCCAAACCAATTTATTGCAATTCAGTGAATCTTTTTTTCGCGATAGTGACCGTTTAGGACGAGAATCAATTGCTGTAGCTTCTGTTCAGCTTTAAAGACGGGCAAACGAGATCTCGTGATCAAGACCGGCAATTTGTTGACGATTTGCGATTAATTGACTTACCAACGCAATCCAGTCCTCGAATGCTCTAACGTCTCAACTGTGACCATAACTAGCCGCATAACTCTTAAAATTTTACAACTGGTTTTTACAAATATTATTGGCTTACCTTCAAGCCGCCGCCGAGGTCTCGGTGGAGAACCAAGAAAGTAATAAGTTAATATGCTTAATAAGTCTACAAAATAACGACAGGCAATCACGCAGTGGTTGTTCGAAAACCTTGGGTCACCAAAAGTGATCCTTTTTTCCGTTTTGCACGTGATTTTAAAGGTTCTGCTAGATGTACCGCCTGATCAGTTGTTCCTCCTGATCAACTATTCGACAGTCACGCGGAATTTGGCTAGGGAAATATTTTAACGAATTGCGAGATTTGTAGTGCTCTTTCACTCAATTTCTTACATTTCTATTAGGGAGTAAAGAAGGTAGGAGGTAAAGGATTAAACGCCAGCGAAAAACGACAGAGCATTCGACGCTGGGAGTGGGGGGGGAATACTTCCTTGAAATAGGCTGATGGGGATGTGCTGCTGGATTGGGTCACATTTTTACGACTGCATTTACTATAATAGGGTTGCATTTTTAAAAGAGTGGCTAGAATGGGTCGCACTTTTAAGAAAAGTTAAGAAAAAGGTAAGAAGATTCTGGTAGGTAGAGATTTTAAAATGAGAAGATTCGCGGTGAAAAAGTTGTCATCGTATTACAAGAAGTTACTATGGTAGGTTCTATAATTGGCCACGAAAACGGTTGTAAAGGGGCAGGAGGTTCTGAGAGGTCAGCGGCACATACCCAGCAAAAAATGACCCGAGTAACAATCCCCCGCCCTCCCAGTTATCTGATAAATGTTAGACGGGAGAAAAAAAAAATGCTAGGACGAACAGTAGCTAACTGTATAAGGTACTTAAGTTTGTGCAGTGCGAAAGAGTATCGTTTTAATTTCAGAACTGTTTACACTTCGCCCATAATAAGAAATTTCAACGAGTGGAACGAACTCAGTGGCTTTCTACTGTTAATAGGAAGTCCGACATGTCTAGAAACTTTGACGATTGAGGCACCATTTTGTCCACATAAAGTGCACGCTCTACATCTGTACCCTGGTCTAAAGTGATCGCCTTATTTCACGGTCAGGGCTTCTTGAAGAGGCAAAGGGCTCAACCACACCGAAAGTTGTGGCAATTCACCATCAGGAGGGTAAAGTCGAATTGTAATGCTTTTTTAAACTCCTCATGAAGGGTGTTCTATCAACGAGGCCTCAGAAAACGACATCTTTTAAGAAGAACAGCAGTGCAGCAATGAAGTTCATGACATCATGGCGACGTGTGATTCTCCGACACGGCCGTCGCGCGTTCTCTGTCAACGGTTACTGTTTGTCACAAGGTAAAACGACTGACCCTACACGGGATTTGAACCAACATAATGACTCGCTCCCAGTTAGCTTGTTAGCTCAGTTGGTATAGCACTGCAGCAGTTTGCAGAGGTCATGGGTTCAAATTCCGTATTTTCACTATTGCGAAGATCGCTGTCATATTCATTTCTTAAACTGCTCAACACATAAATGATTTTCATATAAATAAAGGGGGTGAGTTTCTAACGAAACTGTGGGGCTGCCTCGGTGGGGGTAACTAGGTAATTTGGTAGTATCAACTAAGTTCAAATTGTAAACTGGCGACCGTAAAGAGTTTAAAAGCTGACGTTTCGAGCGTTAGCCCTTCGTCAGAGTGAATGACGAAGGGCTAACGCTCGAAACGTCAGTTTTATTAACTCTTTACGGTGGCCAATTTAGGAATATCATGTATTCACTGTCATTTGAAGGATAATTATTCTAACAATCAGGAGCTTCTTTAATCAGTGGTCAATTCCTTTAATCTTGTGACTTTAATGTGTGATTCAGGGGTGATTCTGTAAGGAAAATTTTAATGTTAGTCTTTCCCAGGTGTCATAGGATCTAAAGCGATCCCATAACTCCCTGCACCTCGCACCCGTCTCTGGCCCCCCCCCGATACGCGCCGGCAAAAAGGTATTTCATTCCAGTTAGATTGTCACAAATTACATTTTTGGCAAGATTTCCGCACAGCCCTATGTTTCATTATGCATACAGGTCCGGGATAATAATAATAATTAAAAACATATTTATAAAGGATTGCTGCTTCAGTTTAGGAAAGAAAACTGCTCTCAATGCAGGTCCTGTTAAAAAATAAGTAGAAATCAATTTAGAGTAAATTATAAAATAGTTACAATAAACGAAAGTAAATTCGGACAATAATAAATTCTACGAATTATTGAAAATTATTTAAAATCATTAAAGATTTTTGCACCTTTATAAAAAAAAAAGCGCGCTTGGTGCATTCTAATTTAACTTTTTCTATA